TAGTTTTTCCAATAATTATAAGACTTTATAGGAGACCACTGTACCACCGATGTCACCCCTACTGACCTCACGCAGAAGTTAAATGTTTGTTATTATTAAAAATAATGAATCAACTTTTTAGCTTGGCCTGTTCACGCATATCTCCTCTTTGGTACTTTGCTTATGTCCACGGTAGAATATCTGCAGGATATCCAGGCCAGGTACCAGTACAGAGCCAGGGAATATTTGGTTATCTTATCATGTTAAACTGTTTAGTTTAGTTTAGTTACACTGGTGATTCACTTCTCTGGTTTTGGTTACATGTGCACACTCTTATCCCTAATTCAGTTTAAACTGTCGGTTGATAAGGCTGTTGAAACTTAGTTAAACCTTAATTCTTTTCATAAAGTAAACATACAGAACACTGTGTTTGTCCCACTCTCTGCTATTGGTCGCTGTTATTTCCAAGTGTCCACACACTCTTTTCTGCCTTAGGCAGCGCCTTGAGGGCAAGAGCCATTGGCTGCAGCTTTTCTCTCTCTCTCTCTCTCTATTTTTTTGATCCCACACAAACCCACGTGTCTTTGACTTACATTGTCCTCTGCCGTTTATGACAAAAACTGGCCAACAACCAATAATGACACAAAAGAGAAGAAAAGAGGAACATTTAAATAATCTCCTTCCCCCTGAATCCTGCAGAGGTCAGTCTGTCTGTCTGCTCAGTGTGCATCCCCACGGCCTGTTGGATTTGAGGCAAGAGGATTGAGGATTGAACTCAGGGAATTACTGCTCACTGCGACTTCTTTTAACAAAGACATGAGATTTTTCTATTTCTTGAATTTACTTTTGTTTTCCATGTTTTTAAATACAGACCATGGCTGTTATAGACATAGATATATATTATTTCAAGTGATTTAAGTGCAAATTGGGACATTTTTGGAAGATAATTACTAACTAGAGAAATATTACTGTATTACTAAAGATTTTGTTTTTAATATTGTTTTGTCATTTACTGTTTTTCTGATGTCATTTACCTTTATTCACTTTAAATTATATCAGACTAATATCTTGACCCAGAGTTTCTAGCCTAAAACTGTTGGAGTTAGAAGCAACCAGTGGTCCCACGCTGGTGGGTTTTAACCCTGATATCTGTGGTTTTAACCCTGTCTGCCTCCCCATTATCCTCAAGTGTCTGCTATCCTGAGATGGACAGTAGGGGATCATGGGTAGGGGATTGGCCGGGTGTTTTTGAGAGTTGCTCTTTAACATATGAACTCTGTAACTGTATTGACATAACAACTGTGCAATGTCTAGGGGTTTTACATATGCTGGTGTGCATGTTTAAGAGTGAGGATGGGAGGATGGTGGGGGGCAGAGAGGGGTCCGTGGGAGGGGGGTGAAGATAAGGGTTAACTCTCTGACACCTGCAGCTCTTCTTACTCTAAATGCAAATCCAAGCCCACAAGCCCTCAGTCATCCTCTCTGAACCTCTGAGACCAACGTTACTGAGCAGCAGCCTTCACAGAATCAGATTAGATCATTTAAGGAAAAAAAATTAATGAAATTACACAAATTCTTGAAGGATTACCTTATTATTATGAATTGATTTATACGTAGGGGTTGGGTATTTTTTTTAGCTTTAATGGCAATGTCAATCATCACTTTGTCTCGATCTAAAGCTTGATCATCAAATTATATTTACACTTGCTGTGGAACTATTAATGTATATCGTCACTTTATATACTTTTCCCCTTTTCATGTACTTGTATTTATTCTTCATTTTACATTCAATATCAATTTATATATAAATATATATATATTTATTTTGTCTTTTATGTATTTATATAAACAAACTAGATGTACATTCATAGATGCATACACACACACAAACATATACATACGTTTGCTTAAAACTCTTCTTGAGAACAAACTATTGTATCAATTAAACATACACGACAGCTCAGAATCAAGCTACACAGCCCTGTGTACTTGTCATTTACCAGTTTTGATGGTGTTAACTTGTCACGGAGCAGGTGCAAGCCATTGTGTCTGCAGGCACCTGCTATAGTGGAGGGAACAAGACAAACAAGGAAGGGGAGCCTTAACCAGCTCCGAAGCTGCTGCCCTTCAGCTGATCCTGAAATCTGACCTGGCTGACCTCTGGAATACGAGCTTCAAGTTAAGGGCAGGTTACAATGGAAGAGTTGGAAATTTAACAATTTTCTATGGAGGGGAGTAACTAAAGTAGAAAAATAAACCTGCACCATATAAGAAATAAGTCAGTCATACACTCTAGTGCCACCTACTGAGAGCTATACAAAACACATCATCGTAGCAGGGAGGCTATACAGTCTGAAATCTGTTATAAAAAAACGATTTCTGTCCGTTATATCATATCATTTTAGTAATAACAAAAGGATATGAAAAATAATGTTAGTGTTTTAAACAGAAGTTTACTGTATAGTCTTAATATGATGTCACTTTGTGTACCTTTCTTAATAGATCGTGGCTTAGTTACTTAGCGCCACTCAGTGGTCAATAGTGGTATTAGAAAGTTGTTTTAATTTTTATTAATTAATTATTTTCATCTCTGCAAAGGGAAACTACGACATCTATCTAGAATTTATATATATATTTATTTTGTCTTTTATGTATTTATATAAACAAACTAGATGTACATTCATAGATGCATACACACACACAAACATATACATACGTTTGCTTAAAACTCTTCTTGAGAACAAACTATTGTATCAATTAAACATACACGACAGCTCAGAATCAAGCTACACAGCCCTGTGTACTTGTCATTTACCAGTTTTGATGGTGTTAACTTGTCACGGAGCAGGTGCAAGCCATTGTGTCTGCAGGCACCTGCTATAGTGGAGGGAACAAGACAAACAAGGAAGGGGAGCCTTAACCAGCTCCGAAGCTGCTGCCCTTCAGCTGATCCTGAAATCTGACCTGGCTGACCTCTGGAATACGAGCTTCAAGTTAAGGGCAGGTTACAATGGAAGAGTTGGAAATTTAACAATTTTCTATGGAGGGGAGTAACTAAAGTAGAAAAATAAACCTGCACCATATAAGAAATAAGTCAGTCATACACTCTAGTGCCACCTACTGAGAGCTATACAAAACACATCATCGTAGCAGTGAGGCTATACATATAGAGGCTATAGTCTGAAATCTGTTATAAAAAACGATTTCAGTCCGTTATATCATATCATTTTAGTAGTAACAAAAGGATATGAAAAATAATGTTAGTGTTTTAAACAGAAGTTTACTGTATAGTCTTAATATGATGTCACTTTGTGTACCTTTCTTAATAGATCGTGGCTTAGTTACTTAGCGCCACTCAGTGGTCAATAGTGGTATTAGAAAGTTGTTTTAATTTTTATTAATTAATTATTTTCATCTCTGCAAAGGGAAACTACGACATCTATCTAGAATTGTTGTTTGGTGATAATAATTGTTATTATTACTGTTTATTTGACATTATCATTGTTTTGGCAACAACATTTAGTTCAATTGAGGTCGTTTCTTCTTAAACAACGTTTAAGTTCTTTTACTCCGTAGTGGTTTTAGAGAATTATTATTGAGGTAAAATAAGTAAAACTCATGTTACTACAAAGCAAGCACATTATTAATTATTAAAAGAAATGTCAGACAACAATAAAGTCATATTGCACAGTAATCTGTTACTGGATTCACTGCCTGTGTGTCACTCTCTCATCAACCACTTCAACAGATGTCAATGCTCTTTACATTCAAGTAGTACAAACGTCACAAAAACATGCTAGAACACAACGTATAACAAGTTAAGAACTTATAAATACTGTATGGAAGAACGGAGACACGTTTTAGTCCAAGTTTTTGATAGCAAACCTACTACTAAGACCAGAAATCCTACACAAACTACTCAAACTTCTCTAACAAGTACCATTTTCAACTTTCCTTCTTCAAATATTATCAAACTTTGTAGCAACAACGACAAACAAACGTATAGTTCCTCTCTGACGCTCATAACAGGGCCATTGCCAGTCTTACAACTTTCCCTCCCAAACTCTGTTTTCTCCCTCACCTGTTCTCGCCCTCTCCATTTAAACAAAGCCTCCACGTATGAACCTGATTTTTTCCCCTCAAATCCCACTTCCCCATTCTCCGAATCAGTTTGCATTATTACCTTAGCCTCCAGGCAGGTTCTCTGTGAAACACGTTGAGCCGCCGACGCCGCCATTGTCCATTCATTCATTTCCGCAAACAAAAGGCCCTCCATTACGTTCGGTGATTAGCATTGCTAACAAAAACAAACACACCGCGGGGAGTCTGCGTACTAACCAGCCAATGAAATCGCACGATACTGGAGCAGCAGAGTTCAAGGGTCATTATCATTTAGGAAACAATATTATTAGTTTTTATATATATATTATTACTGCTACATACAGTGTAAGTAAGATAAGAGTTTTTTATTCTTTTGTGTGTGGTAATGTGTTTATATGTATTCATATTATAGTTTGGTTACACTAAATGTACAATAATATTAAAAATACACATACATTATTATGTATCATTTTAATATTCAGCATTTACCACCCTCACACCAATCAGTATAACTATTCTGTTAATATTGACATGTATAAAACAGTGAATATGTCATTCTACATACTGTACTACAAATAGATAGAAGGATAAAGTTAAACTGGTTAAAAGGTACTTCTGTGATTTCAGATATCTTGCCTCAAGTGAAACGTTAAATTTGTCTAAACTCTATATATACCCCCTTATATATAAAAATAAATAAATAAAGATGGTTCTACATTCATTTCAATTAAGACAAAAGTCTTGCCCACATTTCACAGGGTGTCCTTTAAACGTCCCCGGCTTGGACATCAACATGGCGCACGTCTTAACCTTCAACCTCGGATATTTATCCAACCTCGTTTATCTGTTTGTCAGAATGTAAATCAGTCACTCAAAATTCTCGCGATAAATGGCGTAGATATATTAGGGCAGATGGAGAGGCCTCGTCCACTTGGAGGGGCGTTGGGTTTCCTGGAGGATCTTGGTGAGGTTTGGTTCAGTCAAGGCTCTCAGATTTGCACAGGACACATCCAACCATGTCGGACGCGGTGGTTAGTTTCATGAAGGACTTTTTGGCAGGTGGTATTGCCGCTGCCATCTCCAAAACAGCTGTTGCTCCCATTGAGAGAGTCAAGTTGTTGCTGCAGGTAAAAAGACGAACATGCTGCATGCTGACTGCGCCGTGCGTAAAGTGTGCGTAAAAGTTGATAAACCCCAGAAAAACACCTACCGGTAAAGACGTACGAAAAAATTAACTTGTAGAAAGTAGAAGTGTGCTTTATATCAATCATGTGTGGTGCGTAATGTTAGGAGACACGTGAGAGATCCTGCGTCAGGGTGGAGATGCTTTGACGCGCTGGTCATTCCAAAGTTGCTGCAGTGGTGGGAAAACAAAATCACAAATCTGTTAACAGAACATCCAGAGGACTTTAGGATAAAGTTTTTTTCTTTGTTTAACAATTAAATTGTTGCTCAACTCTTAAAGATGACCACAGGAAAATTCAGTGAAAGTGAATTGCTAAATTTAACTTGGAGGATGTAATCCAATACACAGCCAAATCTCAAGTAGCCCTTGCCAGCCACCCACTGACACTGCAGGCAGCTGCCAGCATCACTACTGAATGGAAACTATCACACAGTGAAGATTATGCAAAATGCGTTAATTAATGTGTAAAACATATATAACTGAGAAATAATGTTAGATCTTATAACTGTTTTATGATTATTGTTTTGATGGTAGGTCCAGCATGCCAGTAAACAGATCACCGTGGAGACTCAGTACAAGGGCATCATGGACTGTGTGGTCAGGATTCCGAAGGAACAGGGCTTTGTGTCCTTCTGGAGAGGCAACCTGGCCAACGTGATCCGTTACTTTCCCACCCAAGCCTTGAACTTCGCCTTCAAAGACAAGTACAAGAAGATCTTCCTTGGTGGAGTGGATCAGAAAACACAGTTCTGGCGCTACTTTGCTGGCAACCTGGCATCCGGTGGTGCCGCTGGTGCAACCTCTCTTTGCTTCGTCTACCCTCTCGACTTCGCCAGAACAAGGTTGGCTGCTGACATTGGTAAAGGCACAGCTCAGAGAGAGTTCTCTGGTCTGGGAAACTGCCTCAGCAAAATCTTCAAAACAGACGGCCTTAAGGGTCTTTACCTTGGATTCAACGTGTCTGTCCAGGGCATTATCATTTACAGAGCAGCCTACTTTGGATGCTTCGACACAGCCAAAGGTGCGTATTCATGCCCTGGGTGGAAATGTGTAGCTTTTAACATTGCACGTGGGAATTTTCCAGGTATTTTCTTTCAGTGAGTAAGTGACTCGACTCCTCCTTCATGCAGGCATGCTGCCAGATCCAAAGAACACGCACATCGTGGTGAGCTGGATGATTGCCCAGACCGTCACAGCTGCAGCTGGTCTCATCTCATACCCCTTCGACACCGTCAGACGTCGTATGATGATGCAGTCTGGACGCAAAGGGGGTGAGCGTTTGGATGTTGTAGTGAACTGACCTGATACTGTTGACTTGTCTTTAAGGTAACATTACTGCTCTGTGTGTCCACATCCACAGCTGACATCATGTACAAGGGCACAATCGACTGCTGGAGGAAGATCCTTAAGGATGAGGGATCAAAAGCCTTCTTCAAGGGTGCCTGGTCCAATGTGATCAGAGGCATGGGCGGTGCCTTTGTGTTGGTGCTGTACGACGAGATCAAGAAGTACACATACTAAATGCAGCAAATCTCCCGGTCCCAGAGGAAACCCTTCACTTTGTCTAAGTCTTAATCCATCTGATAGAACGATAACAGCCTGTGGTGAATAACAATGTGGGCATGTGCTCCTGCAGAGCGGCCGCCCGGGAAAGAAAAGGTACATGTGACATGGGTGAACACACATTTGTACACATGCAATCATACAGTGAACAGGGCCACAAACAGACTCTCAGTGTGCCAAAGTCCAGCCGGTGGTTCAGTGGAGAAATGATGACGCAAAGATGAAACTTCACTACATACGCCCCTCATGAAAGTTTGGTGATGCAGTTGCTGAGGCCATGTATTGTTACGTTGTGACCACACTCTGATCTATGTTGTTTTATTAATAAAGATTTATTAGTCTATTTTAGTCTTAGTCTGGTCTCTTGAATGTATGTTCTGTCTTAAAACTGTTTTTAGATCTTTTACATCACGTCTGAGTTTATTTTCTTTACAAACAGTCCCTTCATGATGGCTCAGTTCTGTTTCCCCTGCCCACATAAGGCTACATCAGCATGACCAACAGATTTAACGTTTTTCAGAGGAAAAGCCCAATATTAAAAGCATTGGTTGCAAAAATGCTTAGCAAGAATTAAGTTGCATGAAACCACGGCAAAGTAATGTTAGAAAAATCCACATAACCATTAGAATCAGTGAAGCTCTGGAAAAATACTTTTATGTTTGGGAATATTTATATATATTTGAATTCAGAGCAGGATGTCAATTATGTAAATTCTGATTGACTTAGAGGAAATTGACTATAAAATAAATAGGAAGATAGTACGTGTGTGACTGACAGTTGGATAAATTCTACATCAAGTCAAGCTGTTGTTTCCTGCAGCTTCATATTGAAATAATAATAATTACTGTCCCTGTCCACTGTTTCCTTTGCTTAGGCAAAAGCAGCTTTATTTGTCGACAACAATATAAAATATATCACTTTACAAATAGTTATTGTAATCTCTATAAACACAAAGTCTTAAAGCGCAACATCTCACCTGTACAATGTAAAACAAAGCAATTTAAGCAGGGTCACATTTGATATTACAATATAAATAAATCAGTTGACATCTCACAAGCTGTGTCAAAGCAGCTGCTGAAATAAAGGCATCACTTCCTAAAACAGAACAGCAGACCACTGGCTACTGAGAGGCAACAGCTGAATTTGACTACAATTTCCAGTGCAGAGCGTCACTTATGGAAGCAGAGGCATATCAACTCCATATACACTGATTAACATGTCGACAAAGATATTGAAAATCTGCTGCAATTGATTGGAATCTTCTGAAACTGACACATGAAAACCCAGGTAAAGCTCCACAGTACCGTCTACAGTCGTCTACAGTACCGACAGAATTGACTGAAATGGATGGAGAGAGTGAGGTTCTCAGCACCAGGCTGGTCGAGCTGCACTCAGATGTTTTGACCTTTGCACTGGTGTGATGGTCACCTCTGGTCTGGAGCTGTGCTGAGTGGAACACCTGGGGCCTGGAGGCGTGAATAAAAGAAGAAGTAAAAATTGACACTCACCCACAATGGACACACTTTAGATTTTGATGCTTTACCAAAAACATAACAGACATGAGAGTACATGCATGACTGCAGTCTGACCATTACAGTTGATAATGGTATTCTGCACAGTTCTCACAAACAAAAGATCATTGTATTTAGTCATAATTTGTCTGGAACCCATTTTGTATCATGAACAAAAAAACGTGTGAATCATATCATATTGTGGGTTGAGTGTATCGTTACATCCATAATGCTGATAAAAACGAACTTTTTCTTGCCTTAAACACCAGACATTATGGTGTTATAACTACTGACTCAAAGGGGGATTTTAAATATCTACATTTTTGATTGGTTAAAACAAACAAAAAAGAAAAAGAAAGAAAAACAAAAAGCTTACTTGGGCTTTTACTGCCTTCTATATAGCCAACATGACGATGGTAGTCTGCCAGTTGCTCCGAACGCCTCATACCCTGCGTAGGCTTTGCAGACTCAAGTCTCCTCAGCAACGCCTGGAGGAACAACAACTGTTATGTCTTTGTTTGTTTCACTTTAAACACAATTTCTCCTGTCTCTATGTTGTAACTATGTTGCATTTTTAAACTCAAATATAACTATCCTACCAACTGCCAAGAACAAGCAGGAAAAAAACAACTATCCAGGAAGAGTTTCTGCGTTAAGGACCCAAAAGCTGAGAAATCAAGTGATGAGCTCTTGTGCTATGGCCAAAAAAAGTGGGTTATTTAATAATTATCTTTATTACTTTACCTAGAGTTAGTGACTAGAACTTTTGCAGAGTGCAGCTACTGCCTTTAGTATTGGTGCATGTTGAAGTGCTTGTTTTTATTAATGTGGCATCAAATAGACACATTTCTGATTGAGAAATGAAGATGACAGTTGCCCTCTGAAAAACAAATACCATTCAATTATGTAAATAAAAGAATATGTGGTACTTTGACAGCATAAATAAGCCAACAGCATGAAGCAAAACAGTGTGGGCAAGTGTCTGAACACATGCAGTCACACTCCCACCTGCATGCTGTGCAGAAATGAGCAGAAACTCTGTAAGAAGCAACAGGCAACGGTTAGAAACACTGCTCCAATTCTCCAGGTTTACAAGTGCAGAGATACTAAAAGACACGCAGAGGTTTTCTTACTCATCCCTGCTGCTTTTTCAGTGTGAATATTACAAAAATCCATTCCATGCTAAACCAGTAAATTAGGTATATTGTGTGACTACACTGACCTGGAATACACAAGTATAACTAATGCCTGAGCAGAAGTCACGGGGAGTCTGACATGTGTGACTTTTTGGGAGGAATCACTGATCACACGGCAGATTCAGTTACTGCTCTCTAAGAATAGAGACTGTGAAGCAAGTGGACCAGACCAGGAGAGCAGACAGTTTGTCCTGAAATTAACAGGAGGTACTGTATGTACCATGATGATGACATCTATCATTAAGACGTCTGAATTTAAGAATACGAGTCTAATAAAAGAAAACGCAAATTACAAGAAGTCAGGCTTCGTGATTGCATTTGTAAGTTGTAAATTCAATTTGTAAGGAAAAACTTTGTAAACAGTCCCTGCTCCGAATTTTTCAGCTTGTGTAACGCTGTGGTCTGATCATATATGTTTAAGAAGAGTTAATAACTGAAGTTAAACAAGGCTAATTCTGCAGAGGCTGCACCATCTTGTAATGTCACTCTGTGGCTCTGCTGCTGCACCACCACCTGCTTCCATCTGTCCGCAGCCTCCCAGTGTCTGCTTACAGTGGACGACGACGTCAGACCAATCACAAACTCATCCTCTGCACATTCTCCACTGTATGTCATCCAGTAGTGTTTAGTGAATATCACAGGCTCATCCAGATCTGATTATACTTACACCCTCACAAGATTCTTAGTGCAGGAAACCCTGAACCATCCCTGCAGCATAGTGTGTGTTGGGTGTGCAGAATTGAACCATCCCTGCAGCATAGTGTGTGTACACCCCTTTGGGTGTGCAGAACGAGATGGCGGTTTGGGGTGATTTAAGTGGGATTTTTCCACACAATATAGATGGGTAAATGAACAAAGTGGGATTTTTCCACACAATATAGACGGGTAAATGAACATTTCCTATGTAAAAATAAAAAAAAAAAAAAAGATCTAATTTTAGATATGTTCCCCCACCCCAGTCATTTGTGGTGAATGATCTTTTCTACAGTTGTAACCTAGATTCAACCAGCTGGTTTCTATGTTTATTACTCAGACAGTTGATGTTCAGTCTCTAGCTGTAATTTATCCATGAAAAATAATTATAACAAAAGTATAATAGAATATGGCAAACACATTCACAGACACAACAACCCACTAACACAGGACAGAGCAGAAAAACTCACCAGATTCTCCCTCTCGATGCGTTTCTGTTCTCGCTGTCTGTTGAGTGCACTGGAACTGGGCCGTATAACTGGTGAGCAGCTGGTTTTTGGTGTTTTTCTTCCTGCTGCACTGTTGGGTCTGGAGCCTGAAGAAAGGCGAGACAGGGCCCGGAGCAGTCGCTGGTTCTCGTGATCTATACGTCGGACTTCGTCATTTCTGAATGAATAGTTCTTCCTGTTTTTCCCTCCGTGGGGGTGAAACACCAGTTTGCCTCCGAGCTGGCTCTCTGAAGTAAAAGAATCTGATTGGGGGAAAAGACAGGGATTAATGTATGTTATTTTCCAGAACTTCAGTGAAATATATTGTGTTAGGTGGTGAATCACGTTTCACCGAATATGAAAATTAAATATAAGTCCATTCATTTATGGCTCAAAGAAAAAAACAAGTCAATAAAGCTAGAATCAACAGGTATATAAAATATAACTTCCCTATTACAACATTATATAAATTCCAAGTTGTATTTCACTAATATACTGTATATATATAAAATTATATTTCCATAATGATTTGAACAAAGAATACATTTTTCACACAACATTTCATGTATAATATTTATTCTTTTGACTTACACCTATCCACGTCCTGAACTGAGTTGTCATCTGGATGTATCTCACTGAGGCCACTGGAGGGCACACTCCCCTCCTCCCTCGGCTGCTGCTCTTCTTTCAGGCTTGTGTCGACTTCTTCTCTGTGGTTCAGGTCCAAAGACTGCTCAGGGCTGATGTCAGGTGAGGAGAGAGGACTCACATCTGTCATTGATTCTGACTCCTTCGCGTAATCTCGAGACTCTGCTGATCCCAGTCTGACCTTCCTTCCTCCGGGTGATAATTTCTTGGATTTGGGAATTGTGGGGGAATTTGAAGAGCTTCTCCCACTGTAACTGCTAGAGCAGCTTTCCGAGTCTGCATCCTCACTCGACGTGGACGTAGGGGATGAACTCTGGACATGCCGATTTCTCATTAGTTTCTTAGGTGACTGTTTCTTCTTCAGTTTTGAACCTGGATGTTTGGCACTGGATGATGAAGATTCTTCGTCTGTCACATATATATCCTTGTCTCGTACCTCAGTGGCCTCAGCCAGCAGAGCCATGAATGTCCTGTTTTGTCTTTTAGGTGGCAGATTGCAGTCTTCTTCACTATCACTGCTGCTATTGGTGACTTTGTTGGACACTGCAGGCACAATCGGTAAACTGAACGCTCGGTTTCTGTCCTCGTCTTTTGAGTAATAGCTGTTTACTAGTTTGGGCTGTTTTCTGGTAACGTCAGACCCTGGGGAAACTACAGCCTTGGTATTTTCCATCTGTTTTTCTTGAAGCCTCTCAGGAAGACTCTCTTTACCAGTATCTCTGCTGAGGCCACTATCACCATCATCTTCACTGTCAAAAAACGAGTGATCCACTTCACCTTCTAGTTCACTGGGGTTAAACATGACTGACTGTTCTCAGCCAATCACCCTGTGGGATTATATAAAATTTGAAATGGTTAGTTTAAATGTAAACTGTATATGTAGCAAATTATACATTGCCTATAATCACACAAAATAAAATACAAAAATACAAACATATTGCCTATAATCACACAAAATAAAATAAAAAAATACACAGTAAAATTCGGTCAAAAATATATTGTGCCTTTTTGATTTAAGCCTTAAAACACAGTGGTATAAAATGTATTCTTTCTTAAATATGAAATATGTCGAATACGTTTGACCAGCAGGAGACAATTACATATACGTATATGGAGTCTGTGTTGTTGTGTATAGTATGACAATGTAGGGGGAAAAGTAAAGGATTTCAAAATACAACATAACATGTATTCTTACAACTTGAACCACTTCTGGGTTTAGGACTGTACGTAGGCATCGCCTAGAGATTCTAAACAACCTTGGGTTGCTAATTTGTTAGCACAACCCTCGTGATAACAAACACCAACTACCAACTGAAATGTGTGATTAAGAACAATAAACGAATAAAAGTTCTATATAACGGAAAACTAGATTTCATTCGGTCCAGATTGAAAAGCCGTACTAACTTACGCCTCTCTGTTAGCTAACTTTAGCTGTACAGCAGCGACGTATCACCCGATGTGGTCTAAAAGCCCTTTCACAATTAAATTCGCTACGTTTGAAGTTATACTTATTGTACGAAGGGAGTTGAGGTATCAGAAAACACAAACCTGAACTGCAATGTTTTCGTTACAGCCTGCTACAGCTGGATGCAGTGGGCAGGTCAATGTGATGATGATGATAATGATGCCTAGTAACCGCCGGGTCTTCTTCTTTCCTCGTGATGCAGGCAGATATTACGCTCAGTACTGACCTCTGCTGTTAGAAACTGAAATGTCATTTTGTCGTATTGTTTATTAGTCGTATTTTTAATACACCGTTCAGTTGTAAATATTGCAGAAATGTATTTGGATGTCATTTCTATTAGTTACTTTTAACACAAACACTGCTCCTGAGAATACATTCATTTAATATAATTAATTATTTTATATTTATCCCTAATTTAATTTGTAAAGATAATTTATATTTTAATTAACAGAGTATGTAAAATGATGGAGTAAAGTTTTTCCACTGGAGGTTTCATTTATACCAAAGTAAGTAATTCCTCAAGTGCATCTTCATTAGCACGGAGAGGGATTATCTGGAGACGCGTCCCCTGAAATTACAATTAGTCATGGGCGTCTCTTAACAACATAGTTAGACGTAGAACTGACACATACAATAGTGAAATAAACAATTATTCTTAGAGGGATAGATCACTTGAACCTTTGTCTGGTCACTGCAATTGAATTTACTGGCTCAGCCCAGCCAGTAAATTCAACGGTCAAAAAGTTTGATGAAAGTTTGACTTACTTTTCAATTAATTTATGTGTCAGATCTAAGACTGGAATCTTCAGATGTATCAAAGTTGTTTTCAGACATATATTTATAATATCTAAGACTGGAATCTTCAGATGTATCTAAGGTGTTTTTTTAGACATATATTTATAATAATTTTACTAACCTTTGATGGTTGTATATTAATTGCAGAATCCAGTTTAATGTCAGGAGAATATATGACATGTGTCTAATAGGTAATACATAACGTGTTTGTTTGTCTGTAAAAATCATAATCTTAAAGCTGTAATTCATTATAATTGTAAAAGTAACAACACATGCTTTTCGGAAAACTGTCCCACAAAAATATTGTCTTTATAATATTTCAGAATTAGGATAAAAATAAATTGTGTAATAAATCTTCAAGCTAATTTACAAAGGATTTACGATATGGAGCAACACTTTCCACCTCCTTTATACTTAACACATTTTCCTTAAAATAAAACATAACAAATACTTCCATAAATATCATACATTTTGGCAACTTTTATGTTACAGTACTGTAGTTTCATGCTACAGTCAATTAGTTGCAGTATTGTCAGCAAAATTATGTAAATTTGCAAAGTTGTGCATTTCCGTAATGAACGAACTCTGGTTTCTATCGTGAAGAGATGATACATTTTCCTGTTGTAAAACTTTGCTCAAATCATCTTTGGCTTCTGAGGCAGACAGAGATTATAATACGCAGTTTGATCCCAAAACTCAGGTCCTTTCCAGCCACACCAGCCCTGACAGAGAGAAAAATCACAACAAGGTCATGACTTTAAATAAATGTGTTATTGTTTTTTTTACTAGGCTATCTACCGTCTTTGAATGACTGTGAAAGTCACCTTATCTGTGATAACTTGGAGGTCTTCTGCTCCTGTGTAATGTGGGTCCAGGATGAGAAAACGGATCTGCCCACTCGTCTCACTCCATGTCACACCTAAAATAGTGTGAGCTAAAACGCCCCCTCCTGCAAAACAACAGGTGAAGGAGATGAGTCACTAATTATATGGTGTCAAAACGTCAGTTGACTTTTTTCTTGTTATAACTGCACAACAATTATGAGATTTAAAATATATGGGTTGACAAACTGGTGTTTAAAAATCAATTTTAAACAAGACTTCAATGTTCTTCTTAATGAAAATAGACTTGGTTTGGAAGTTTGTTCAAAGTCATAAAGTCAAAACTGAAAATGATTATAATAATATGCCACTAATATCACTCACCAATCATTATAGGAGACCCCTGTGTCAGGAAGTGGTTAGCCAGCTCTCTGCCTTTTGATGCCAAATCAGAACCCCGACTGAAGGACAGATGTCAGGTTAAGTCTAACATTTACTCACAAAGATTCTAACACACTGTTTTCTTTGTGGATCAGTACCTGACAAACATGATTTTGGAAGTGGCACCAAGAAGATGGTTTAAAACGGCCTGAACCTCTATGGAGCCGATCCACTGGCGTGAACCCACAAACGACGGCTGTTTATCTCCAACGTCCACTAAAGCCTGGAACACAGTCACCCCCACACAGGAGTGGTGATGTCATCATTTACTTCACTGAAAAAAAATAATTACTTGAAGTGCAATCCCACCTGCTGGATCTCTTTGTGAGTGGGCACGGATCGCTCCACATAGCCCTGCTGCAGGAACCAGGAGCAGATGGTTTGAAGTGAGCGATACGCACAGCCCCAGCCGTTGTCGTCCATACGGTCCTGCATGTAGTGATGGTAGCTGTAGATGCCCTGCACCAAGTACACCTGCAAGACAGACATTTCTCAATATGACTGCACCTCACACCGTAGTTACTGTATTGGAGTGACACATGTGAGACTGCGCTGTACCTTTCCATCCTCCAGGGTGGGATGAATGAGGACCTGATGTGGGTTTCGTAGGTAACCATCTCTGTAGGGCTCATCAGGGAAGTGGTATGCATTGGCTCTTCTTAAATAAGGCCTGTCATCAGGTAGGTGATGCTGCTCATGAAGGTCCTAACAGGATTATTTAAAAATATATATATTTTCAGATTAAAGTGGCATAAAATATGTTTAAAATACTTCCAGTCAACCTGTACGTGTGAACAAGTACTTTGTGTTCCCTGGCAGTTTGTGTGTTTTCTCTCAAGAAGATCTGCATCCTGTTCTCACCTTACGTTGCATCTCCAGTTCACTGTCAGCCACTCCTGCAGGATAAACGACCGTTGTTAGTCCATTTGGCTCTGGGAGAAGAAAGTGGAAGACTTCGGGGAGTGGCAGTGTGTTCCCCTTCAGGTGTTGCAAGGACACTTTCTCCATTTCACAAAGCTGATGATTTAGTGCGTCCACCAAGAGCTTGGAGGCGCTGCAACAGACGAGCATTTATCACAGTGAGAATAAGTGTTTTGTGTCTGTAACTTTTTCATCAACTTATTTTGAACTAAAGTAGAAATAGACATACTCTCTGATTGTGTCATTGCTGCTGATGTGGACAGCACAGTCCATTGAAAGACTCATAGAGAGGAAGTGGGATTTCTGGATTCTCCTGGTGAGGACGGGAGCTGGGAGAGGACCTGGGTTTGTCATCTCCATCATCAGGTTAAGATGGATGACATTCTGAATGACACATACAAACTGTTAATTGTACCACACAGTATGGTGCACAAACATAGAGGAAAAGGAAACAAAGTTAAGACAGACATCTCACCAATTTTGAATCTTTTTTGCTTCTCTTTTTTCCAGATTTCTTGCCATAGCTCTCCTGTTCATCTGTTCTAAAGTAAATATACATAACATATACATAATCAGGTTGATAATTCACAATGCCCAACAATAACAAAAACAGTACAATATAGACTTACTGTATCCACTGTAGTAACTCTTCACACGGCGTATTTTGTGTTATTTCTTCAGGTGTTGCCTTAGCACCTTTATTTGGCCAAAATATAACAGGGCTGCCGCAAACCATAAACACACAGGACTCCGATTTGACCTGTGAGCGAAGGTTCTCAAACGTTGCCGAGATCACCTTCTTCATCTGCGACGCTGTCAATGGGAATGGATACAGACAATAGACACGTAATATATGATGTTAGTTTACTATTATGAATGCAGACTGACACATTTGGAGACAGTTTGGAGCCAGTTAACAACTTTTAAAGGGAAAATGTATGAAAAGCGACTGTGTTGATAAAAGTACCGTCTCTGGTGTCCAGCTGACATTTGAGCTCCAGCGGCCCACGGACACGGAGGATGGTGCCGGTGTGCGGGTTCTGAGAGTTATCAACAACCTAATGTGAACATGTAAACCGTTAGCAGCCTGACAGTAGCAGCTGATAGAAACTGAAGGGCTATTTACCAATTTATCAAAAATGCTTTTGAATGTCAGGCGAACGGCTAAGTGCATCGGCTAACAGAAAAGTTTTAAAAGTTTTAATATTATATTATAATATGTGTAAATCTTACCATTGTGGAATTTACAGCAGTCACAATGAAGCTACTACTGAGAGAGGGCAGACATCTCTGTTGTGGGCACAAGCTGACGTGTAACTGTCCTCAACACCTGATTGGATCAGGCTAACTCCGCCTACCAAATGTTGCCTTCAGGTGAACCTGTAATTTTGAAGTTTTTCGCCGCTTGATACCAGCGTACCACAACTACGGCCGCACTACTACTACTACTACTACTAATATTACTACTACTACTAATGATATTAATAATATAGCAATAATTATGATTAATTCAAAATCCGAAAACAACTTTCAGTATTTGTTTATCTTTTATTTGCCATACAAAAAATAACATTAGTTCAGACTAAAATATTTAGGTCTTTGAAGCAAAATAAACAACCCGAAAAAAGTAAACATACTGGTGTGTTTTTTCCTACACTGGATAATAACGCTGAATCTACAGTCATACCATTGAGTCATAATGAAAATCACAAAACTGTGACCACATTGACTGCACTCTGTTCAGATTGTACAGCTTTACTGAAGCATGCTACATCTGATTATTCCAGCATCAATGCCCCCAAGTGTCCCATATTAATCTGAATTTGAAAACACAAGTCAATATTATTTCCTTGTTTTAATAATAACAATGCATACTGGGTTGCTTCGTATTCGAGTATTATATAAACGTTTAAAAAGTCACACTTGTTTATTAGGAAAATTTGTTTTTTGTAAAGTGAGTCAAATTTGCTCCAGGCAGTCCAGTGGAAGCCATGCATGCATGTTAGGTCAGGGAAAGATCAGTGGACAAAGGATTAGCAATAATGTACTATTGCTGATTGTAACTATTGTTCATGTGGAAGTGAATGTTTCATAAATATATCACTGCTTCAAGCCACCCTCACAGTGGAAATAAAATGGTAACCGTACTTGAGGATGTAATTGTACACACAGTACAGAGTAAAACAGAAAATGAAAATACACACTACTACATAATTTTGCTATAAAAGAAAATTATGTAAATTAAAAATAAACAAACCATTTAGCAATAAAGTCATAGGTAGGTCAAATCTGGGAGATTGACATTTGATTGGCTTTGGGATAAATCAACCAGATATGCATATTTCAAATGCAAATGCAAATGCAAATAAATAAAGTATGCATATTTCAAATGCAAATGCAAATAAATAAATCAAATTAAGACCTATAGATTACCAGATAAGATTGGCAAAATACAGTAAAGATGTTTACATTTCCCAAAACAATTGCAATAAGAAGAAAGCTATGCCCTTTGGTTTAACATTAACATTCAGAAGCTGATACAGTATGTGTGTGACTAACACAGGCCAATGACCTTTTATGTAGGGATCCATTGAAATCTTTTATACTTTAGAATGTTAAACAATCAGTCTATAAAAGTTTCCTCTTGTTAAACCATGTGTACAATGTAACTGTCTGAGGTCACGGCTGTAGGTTCCCGTGGACTCAGTGTCCTGGATGTGATTTGTGGTGAGATTAGTATTCTCTCCCTGCGTATCGTAAACAGAGCTTTTAAGGGTCTTAGGTGGAGTGAGTGAACAAATGGCAGAAAATATGGAAACTCACATTAGTGGCTCACATTCATCAGGCAAACATAAGCACAGTGTATCCTCGGATTCACTTCATTGTGTTCTATGAGTAACAGTGAGTGAAGACTACAAATTTACAAGTAATATTTTAGAGCCTGTTAAGGCAAAGTGGAAGTGGAGTATTATAAAGATCAACATAGATATTTAAAGATATCTGTGGTTAAAGCATTCGATATGAAGGTGATCATATTTTTATTCAGAGAATGTTTCCTCTTCAGTTTTCTTTTCTTTTCTTTTTTTTTATCATGACTCTACCAGGCTATGATTAATTTAAAAAATACAACTAAATATACTCACTGTTCTGTGAAACATATTTCACATTCAGGGCAGAATGATGTAACTTATCCCCAATGAGAAAGCCCATTTGTATGATCCATGGATATGATGCAACAGGGTTGTAAAGCTATAATAACAATGACATCAATCTGGGAACAATGAAAACAGAAGTAGTTGGAGTGTTAATGTGAAAGAGGTGAGGTACAGTAGGTACAGAGTACATCAGAGTACAAAGATTACCATATACTCATGGTCTTTGACCGATGTAAAAGTCAGTAAAGTATATGAGAAAACGTATTAATGGGAGAGAGAGAGAGAGAGAAAAGGAGAACACAACACGTCTTCACGTAGACAGTGGTTGGTTAAGAACCATAGAGACCGGATCTGGTCCACCGACTGGTCTAAATATTAAAAAAGTCAATTGCATGTGAGGAGTGGAGTGGAAATAATTCCTCTGTGCTGATAGGTTGGTCAACTGCACCAGTCCCGCTTGCATGGATTGGCCTGGTGCTCTTCTTGGCCACGTCCAATTTCTCATTGTCTTTAGTTGGTGATGGTTGTGTGCAGTTTTGCAATGAATATTGTATGTGCTCCCCGCCTTTGATGCTGATCATTTGAATCCTCGTCTGCTGTGAGGGAGAGAGCTGCTCCTGGATGCGCACAGCAGATGATGGAATTTCTGCCACACGTCGCAACTGCACGACCAGGACAGTCTGCCTCAGAAATTAGATAAAGAGCAGCAGCAGTGGCAGGCGGTCACAGCGGGGGGAAGATGTTCTGTACTAAGCTGAAAGAGCTGAAAATATCCGGAGAGTGTCCCTTCTCTGGCAGCGCCATCAGAAATGATGAGCCTGGAGACTTGGAGCAGCGCTCCGGTGACGCCGCGGATTTATTGCCCGTTTTTGAGGATGTGCACGGTGGAAAAGGTGAGGCTCCGCCACGACAGAGGGCGAGAGGCAAAGTTAACCTGCACACACTTGGAGAGAGCATCCGAAAATTGGCATGTCCGGAGGTGAGTTTAAAAAAACAACAACAACAAAACATGTAAAACACGAATTAGTATTCAATCCAGGTATTCAGACCTGCCATCTTTCATAAAAGGGATAAAAAGATAAATACATTTACGGTGTGGTCTCTGTCTGAAAGCATCATCATTCCGTGGTTTTTTTTAATCATACATTTGAAATGTTTTGTTTTCGGAAAACTTGCTGAACACTTTATTTTACAGATCCAAAGGCTACACACTGCCCTCCATCGAATGATGAGCCCAGCAGCAGACAGCAGGGAGTCTGACAGGTAGCCGCTCTCTTCTTGTTGTTGTTGTTGTTGTTTTGAATGTGTGCCACTCAGACAGGAATATTTCAGCTGCACTTTTCAACGTGCTGCTGCTTCTGCTGCAAAACACCATCGGTGTTTGCTACACCTTTCATTCAGCCTAATCCCAGATGAATGTCTGCTGCCACTCTGACACCAGACTAATGTCAACAATGAGACACGATCCAGACACGTTTTGTTTACATTCATGTGGATGGATACTTGAATAATTGTTATGGTCAGACACACGGATAAATAAATATTGTAAAAAAATAGCAACCACTTGACACTTTATTTTGATCATCAAATGTTTTTTTTAGATGTTGCCAGCCAACAACAAACATCCTAATAATCTGCTGTGTCTGAGGAATATTAATTTCCTATTTTGATTAACTGGGTAATTTCTCCCCCACTACTATTGGCTCATTAGAACAGCTGTGATATCAGTCTGATGTTTTCCATCCGGTGAACAGTATGGTTCAGTGAACACTGGGCCATGTTACTGATTTTTAAAATATTTTTTCCTCCAGCAGTTCAGCTGTTTGCTGCAGAGCTAGTCAGAATTGCGACAGTTATTCCGAGGTTTTTGTGGAGATGATGAGCCTTTACTCCATTAAAACAGGTAAAGTAAGAAGTTTAATTCAGCCTGATATGAACTTATCGGCTTCCCATCTTAATCCCTTTAACCCTTCGCACACCTTGACAGGTTCCTCCATGGACGCCTTAAAGGTGTCTCTCGGGCAAGAGCTCTTCAACATGTGTTACGAGGAGGACAGACACATTTTGAAGGTAGTTGGGGGAGCTCTGCACGACTTCCTCAACAGCTTCAACGTCTTGTTGAAACAGAGCAGCACGCTGCACAATCCAGACAATGACGACTGTGTAAACGAACCGTCAGTGCTGTGCTTAGACAAGGATCCGGGTCTGCTTACTGTCTTTTTTTTCAACCCGTGCTCAACCACTCAGCTTTTCTTTCCTGGAGTCATCAAAGCCGCAGCCCGCCTGCTGTATCACACAACTGTGGACGTGTTGATGGACGCCCCTAGTGCCAAAGACAGCATCTTGCAGTCCAGCCCGCAGCCCAGTCTTCTGTACACGGTCATTGTCAAGGATGCTAAAAATCTGAGCCCCAGTCCACTGCGAGCCACCTCAGCCGGGACGCTTCCCACGGCGCTGTTCTCCACCATCTTCCCCTTCCATCTGATCCTGGACCAGGACTTGCTTCTGATTCAAATAGGTCATGGGCTCAGGAAGAGACTGGTCAGAAAGGATGGACTGAGGAGGTTGACTACCTTCCAAGATCATTTCTCTATTGTGTCTCCCCAGATCAAGTGCTCATTTCAGGGTATTTTGACCATGCTTAACACCCAGTTTATCATTCGGATCAAGAATGGAGTGTCTACTGCAGACAACACAGGGAAGGTATGTGAGCATATCTGTGAAATGTGCTTGAAAAGTTATGACCCGGAGCAGAAGACAATGTCCTAATGTCAAATCAAATGAGACAGAAATCTCAGGCTTTTAATAAGTCGTCTGGCGTTTGAGTGGTTTACTTAGCCAGAAGTAAAAATAACCCCCAGTGGAGTTATGAAGCAAATGTCAAACCATTTTGAGTACATTAAAGGCACAGCCGGGCTTGTGCTGTTAATGCAAAAGAGCACAGCAATCTGTCTCTATGTCCAAATAAAGTATCAACAAGTAGAATGACAGTGACATTTGGGCTCATCCACTAAAAACGGGAAGAAGTGTAAGATTGGAGTTTTACAATTGGCTTCAAGGAGAAATTCAGCAAATCCACTGGTCAGGGAAGGAAACTAAGTTCAGCAGATAAAAATCACACCAGAATTTCTTCCCTTTGAGTTCAGATGTTTAACTGTAACACTAGCTGACAAAGAACTGACAAAACCTACTGAGACCCAGGTAAAGCCATCAACCGTCCAGAGACGTCTGATCAGGTTTGGTCTAAATGGAAGATGTCCAGTTTCTACCGATGTTGAAACAAGGCCACGTGACTGTAGACAACAATCTAGATCTCTGGACAGGGACAGGGACAGGGACACACAAGCGCTAGACATGTGATTGACCTGAAGAAAACGATAAAGTGTAGTGGTTAAAGTGTAGATTTTAAAACACACAATACTGGTTGTATGTGCTGGTTGTAGAGTAAATTCATGAAAATTAAAAATGTTATCTATGCAAATATTGCAAAGATAACAAATAAATGTAAATACAATATTTGTATTTCCACTGTTTCATATCTGGAAGTCTCCAGGGGATTTATGAATATTCACTGCTTAAACATCACAAACTGCACAGGAAAAGATGAAAACTCTTTAACCTGACTGATTATGAGAATGAATATATATACATACATACAATTTAATTTATTGTAAAAAACAATATATATAAATTTTTTTATATATATTTTTTTTTTACAATAAATTAAATTGGCTTTTTGGAATGTAAGCGAATTGCCTTTCTCATCAAATCATCTTTGTCTTCCAGCACATGGATCTTAAAGGTCAGATGATCTACGTTTCTGAGTCCAACGCCATCTTGTTCCTGGGCTCGCCATGTGTGGATAAACTCGAGGAGCTGACAGGCCGGGGCCTCTACCTGTCAGACATACCTATTCATAACGCCCTACGGGATGTGGTTCTGGTAGGTGAGCAGGCCAAAGCTCAGGATGGTTTGAAGAAGCGTCTGGGGAAGCTGAAGGCCGCCCTGGAGCACGCCCACCAAGCGCTGGAGGAGGAGAAGAAGAAGACAGTGGATCTGCTCTTCTCCATTTTCCCACGTACTGTGGCCCAGCAGCTGTGGCAGGGACAAACAGTCCAGGCCAAGAAGTTTGACAGAGTTACGATGCTCTTCTCTGACATCGTGGGCTTCACAGCTGTTTGTTCCCGCTGCACCCCGATGCAGGTCATCACTATGCTCAATGAGCTGTACACCCGCTTTGACCACGAGTGTGGAGAACTAGATGTCTATAAGGTGGGTCATCACAACTGCTTTTGATCATTTTTAAAAATGAATCGGCTTGATGTGTTGGGATTTGCTGATGTTTATAAAAAAAAAAGCTAATTTGAATTAAAACCCAACACAAACATCGTACATCATAAACAATGAGTATTTCCTAATGTCACTAAAGAGGAAAATTCATGACCTGGAAGGGTAGTCTGAACATCCCAAAAGGCAAATTTGGGAAGTTTTGGATCTGTACTGACCAGAAATAACAAATATACATTAGATAAATGGTGTTAATGATGAAGCTGTCAAGCAAAAACAGAGAAAAAAGACGCCAGAAAAATAGAACGGAATTAGCGAAAGAGGACCAATCCAAAAAGTGGCATACAGTAGGAATCAGATTCCCATCTGTGATTCCACCTAGTCCCCCAATCCGTGGTTATTTTAGGAGAAACAGCTGGTGTGGAAACTGTGCCAAATCACTATGCAGAGAAGTGGTTCTTCAGTGGAAGAGGACATATGGCACCCATGGTTGGTGTGACAGTAGAGATGGTGTGGTGTAGTGTGTGATGGAGGTGGATCTTCTATAAAGATTAAAAGGTACATTTCTAAGGTTTGGAGCAGACAGTGGAATCAGGTGTATTTATTTAGTTCAACAGGTTTTCTGCACTGAATTACTACAACGTGAGTCTGTAAGTCAGTGATCTACTGCAGTGGCTGCCAGAGGTCGGTAATCTACAGGGAGGCTGGGAAATGTAATCAGAGTGTCACGAAGGCATAACACACGGAGCAACATGTTTGACAAAGATCTCGTAAAACGCTAGGAAGTCAGAGGTTCTTTCAGGACCCTGTTTCCACTCCACATGTTTGAACCTAAAAATAGTTTCACTTTGTTTCGCGGCTGTCTTTGTCACGTACATACAGAGATTTACACAAACTGAGAGTGAAGAGAAGGAAGATGAAATGCTATCAGGTTTTATGTTACTTTGTTTCTCTGGTGCAGCAAAATGTAGATTAAGACAATATCATTCCATGTTCACATAACAGCAGAGCCTTAAGACTGTGCAGGGACGTCTTTATTTTGCCGCAGTTGCCGGGCAAGAAATCATTTTAATGACCCTTCACTCTGTTCAGGTGGAGACTATCGGTGATGCGTATTGTGTAGCTGGTGGCTTACACAAAGAGAGTGATACTCACGCTCTTCAAATTGCACTTATGGCCTTAAAGATGATGGAGCTTTCAGATGAAGTCATGACGCCAACTGGAGAACCAATCCAGGTAGGATTAGAACCCTCGCCTCACTATTTACTATCACTGGAGTTTGACAGACAACAATCTGAATGATGTAATTAAAAAAAAAACAAAACAAATATCAGTAGCATACAGACATGACTTGTCAATGCACTGCCAGAAAATGTGTACAGTGGGTATGACATCATACACAATACAAAACACGTATTCTACCTGATAAAAGCTTTACCACATAGAGAGTGCTACATGGAGTCAAAAACGCCACAGGATTCCTTTAGCGGGTGTAAATTATGTATCACTCGGGAACTATTTTCAACTGCAGGCTCAGTGAGCTGGTGAATGCCTGGAGCAGGGGCAGTGTTAAGTAAGAAATCTATTTATTTTTCAGTTTTTAAATGGTAGAATTGTGTATTTTTTTTTTACATAGAGTACATACACATTTACTGCTTATACTTTTCCAAGTATTATATGTGTTGTTAAAAATAAATGTTAAATCATTCTCTGTGTTTCAGATGCGCATCGGTCTTCACACTGGTTCAGTTCTGGCCGGTGTCGTTGGTGTAATGATGCCACGGTACTGCCTCTTTGGGAACAATGTTACACTGGCCAACAAATTTGAATCTTGTAGCCAACCCAGAAAAATAAATATCAGCCCCACAACCCACAGGTAACGTAATTTATTTTTATTTTTATATATATATAGTTTTTTTGCATGTTGTTTTGCATTCAGTTTTGATGACGAGGGAACAATGGATAAATAAGCAATTGCTAAAATATAACACTCGCAAAAATACACAGCTCAAAAGTGTAAGTAACAGTGTGAGAGCAGGCCAGAGGTGGTTTATGTGGTGACAGAGTGTCCTTCAGACTGATGTTTATTTGTGTGCTCTCTGTCCCAGACTGCTGAAGGATCACCAGCAGTTTGTCTTTGTTCCAAGAAGCAGACAAGAGCTTCCGGCAAACTTCCCAGAAGACATCCCTGGTGTTTGTTACTTTTTAGAGGCATCCTTCAGAGGCAACTCTGAAGTAAATTCAAGCTCAGAAGAACTAGACCATCCCAGAGGCCGTTCGAATGTGTAGTGAATATAATGCAGGGGCTGCGTATAGTTTGACTTTTGTTGTTTATGAATTGATGCTGTTACGTGTCAGTCAACTCCTGCTGCTTCTTCATTTTAGAGATGTCAGTTTGCTGTCAAACACGAGTCTGGTCTCTGTAAAATTATCTGTGTGTGAAACTGTAGTGGAAAAATAGACACTTGTTTCCCCTGTTTTGTATCCAGATGTTGTCATCTCTGGTCTTTTTTTTTTTTTTAGGTCTTCGCTAGCGGCAGACAATGAAATATATGATTTTAATGGTTTAAAATAACAAAACCGTGTGTAATGAACACGACTGAATTTGGTCGTCTATGGTTCTAAGGTGTGTATGTATACAGCAGAATATTTTATTTGTACAATATGGGTGTTCATTTTCATTATGATGTAAAACCAATGCAACCCTTTGTCATATTGTCTGTGAGTATCCTGCTGATCTGTCCAGCTCTGTTCGGTTTAAATACCAGCTAAACCACCTTATTGTGTTATAAAAAGTTAAAATAAAAACAAAATTGAAACAGCTCTGTATTTTTTAGTGAAAGCAATTTTTAACACTACGGCTATTGTCAGACATTTAGGAGTATCTTGTGTGATGTACAGTAGATTTAGGTGCCTTATGGGAGGTTTCTAGTATCAACATTATGTTAATCTCAGTTTGTTTTGTTTTGTCTGCTTTGCTTCAGTTGTTATGGATCCAAACATTTTACAGTCAAAACCTCTCTTCCAGATGTATGTGGTGCAAGTGAGTTTGCTGTACACTGAATATTTTTAACCTTTTATTTTAACCCCATTTATTAGAAATTCAGTGAAACATTGTAAGATCAAATGTTTGCTATTGGCAGTAATCTATTTTTACTGTTTTCACTGCACATGTTTATGATATATATATATATATTACATAATTTTCATAAGACTCCTTTCCCAAGGGAATATGACAACAAAAAGTACAACGAATGTTCAGCAGTCACTCATGATGATGTGTTTTATTATTGTAATGTAATCAAAATGCAATAAATATTGACTCTAACAAATAGATTTGACTGCTGCTACTGTGTTTGGATTATTCTGCCATGCTGCTTATTTAACACGGTTTTTGTTTACATCAAATACAATAATAACCAGTTTTCCACTAACGTTTTCTCTGCTGATCTCCTCACAGTGGGTAATTTGTACTTTGTACATGTGATTTGGCACAAATGTTTAGCACCGACGGCCTCTTCCAGCATAACATTGGTGTACAGACTGCAGGACCAGGAATCGAACCCCCTACGGTTCAGCTAAAAATATGACCCTTCTATGAGCTCGTCTGTTGACATTCCTGCCACCTGTTATGATAACACAGTAGTAGAAAATCACTGGTTGAAGAAGATATCCATATAAGGTTATGTTAAGTTACAACACAGATGATAAATACCTGCCCTCAAATAACAAATATAAAGCTAATGATGTTATGGATCATTATGATACGATTGCGTTGAGCCTCAAATGATTAACTTTGTGATTAAAACAGATTATGTTTTAACAGCACCATCGTTTTCAAAGTGGGGGGCGCAGAGCTATTAGGGGCAGGTGCTAAATTAAATTTTAATTTTTTTTATTTGTGCCACAGGGAAAATTGCACTGATTTATAATTGAAATGTCAGTCAACTGCTACTAAAGACATCTTAACCTCTATGTAGAATAAAATCAAAATCAGCTTTACTGGGCAAGGATGAGTGAATTTAATAAATATTTTAATTAATTAAAACAGTGAAAAAAGGTAGGGAAACCTCTAGAAATCTAAAAGTCGTGTCTTAAAAAATCTTAAATGAAGACAAACAAACACAAAACATGAAATATTTGGCTTTTGACTCAATGTAATGATACTATGTGTGTGTATATATATATATATATATATACACTATGTATATATATATATAATGTAATGATCAATACTCAACGTAATGAAAAATGCTAATTTAACAAATGAGTTTAGTAACAGAATAAAATCAAACAAATAAAAACAAAGCGGATAAACGGGAGTTACGTGCAGCTGCCTGAGGAGATTTCAGGTCCACTGGCATCTCCGTGACAACGGTAGCTCCGCCCTCATTGGCCAACGAAATCTGACGCAAAACTATTTCTGATTACCTATTGGTCAGAATCGCCTTCAGTCTCTGTCTCAGGGAATCGCGGGGTGGGAGCAGTGGACGCAGACAGAGTCAGCTGCATCCGTACCAAACGATGAAGGTTGTGTCGAATTCTACGGTTTTTGCTTAAAAATAAGGAAAAGGCAATAAAGCGCGGTCACCATGGTAAGTAACGAAGAGTTCGTCGTATACTGTAATAGCGAAATGTGTGCCGTATTTGGCGTTTCCTTTTACCAGGGCTGTCTGTTGTGTATACAAAATGATATTTATGTGTCATTTACACTAACAGGTGAACCTAAACCTTCTTTTAACGAATTTATCCTAATAAATATTTCATTCACGTTCTCAAATCAGCGTCTTTTATGTATGTGTTTGCTACGGCAGTGACATGTTTGACCTGAACTGAATGTAACGCTGTTCGTGTAATCCATTTACAGTATGGATTTGTGAATCACGCTTTGGAGCTCCTCGTTTTACGGAATTATGGGCCGGAGGTTTGGGAAGACATTAAGTAAGTGTGTAGATCACATGTGGTTCTGTATTGGTTCTGTCTGTTTGCATGGGAGGAAATGAAATTGTGGTGAGGTGAACAATAACATGGACAGATAGAAGGCCTACTAGCCCACCTTCTATAGAGACAGACATTGGTCTAACTGTAATGATTAACCCTCAATCTCTGCAGACTCACACCCACCGGTAGTTAGTGATGTAATATTGTCAATACAAAAATTATCCTTTTTTTTTTTTTTGGTGACTGTGACAGACAGTCTTAATTAGCCAGACTGTTATCCTCATCCACTGACTGTTGGTGAGGGCAGCGTTCTTTATCTACTAATATTTACATCATCTTAAAGTAGAAAATGTTTCCCATAGTTGGTTATTTTTTAACGATTATATTTATATAAATTTGCATATGAACATTAAAAATAAATGTTAGCTAAACCTTTGGATTAGCTAACTGTAGCTTAACATTCAACACTGAATGTTAAGTTTGGGTGTTCATTTTCCAGGTCTTTTCTTTTACTAATACGCAATTTATTATGAATCAAAAAATTATTTAATGCATTTTTTTATATAATTACTTTTACTGAGCTGTAGCAATATTGATCATTCATGGGGATTTTAGAATGAATAATTCATGGGGATTTTAGAATGAATGAATAAAAGTATTATATTGTTATATAGTATTATAAACAATTATTAGCTCATCATCATTGTTACATTTTTGCAGTCTCAATATATGACCATTAAAATTAATTTAATTTTTTTTCCTTACAGCTATTTATAGTCAAACACCTGTTGACATATTGACATATTCTACATCATTTTAAGTGTCTTATTTAATAATTTTAAATTTACAATTTTTTATCTGTTCATAATGCTGTTCTCACCTTCATAGGAATAATGTAATCTTGTCATCTAGTGTTGTTTAAATTCCCTGGAAAAAAAACCAATTTAAATAAATTAGCATCTATGAGTTGGTTTTATCCAATACACAGTGATGAAGGCAAAATGAAAGGTAAAATCTCTGAAAAAAATGTACTTTAGTATGACATGATTGGTAGGCTCACTTTTTTTATGACTGCACAGCAAAGGTCATGTTTGCTTTGCCATTTAACGATTGTGCTTCAAGTAGACAATAATATATTTCCATGATCCATTAAGACTAAGATTTTCATGAATTATATTAAATAACCTCAGTGGATGCAGTGGAGAATGAAGAGCAGAGACGCTGCACCTTGGTTTTTATAGAACCCTGTGGTCGGTTCACAGCATCAAATGACATTTAATCCTTTGAAAGGAATATTGGCTTCTCGTTCTAACATTTGCTTCCATTGAAGTTTGTTTTCTTATCTGCTTTTCATCGGTTGAACTGCCCTCAACTTGACCCTTCCCCCAAAAAAGAAGGGGTGGGAGGGTGGGGAGGGGGGACAGCAGCAGCAGCAGCAACAGCTGCCTTTTGTAAATATTTTCAAAATGGCCATTTTCCAGCCACCACAGAGAGAAAAAAATAGACGGCCTCTCCGCATCTGCACACATATCTCTTTGTTATTTAACGCTCAGTTTTTTTGTCTTCATGGACAGAATGAGTTGAAAATGGATTTTCTATTTTCTTTTCAAAACCTTTCAAGGATTGGTATGTTTTTCCAGCAGTTACAGTTTCTGAAAAAACTATGTTTGCAGCTCGGCCAATAAATCATCTCTGTTTTTCATTTAAACAGGGCTAATCAGACTCTCATTAAGATCGCTGACATTTTGGGAAGTAAATGGATTGAAAAATGTATTTATAGAACAAAGCAGGTTCTGCTTGACTGTAACTTGACAAAAGAACATATGAGTACAGTGTTACAAAAGCTGATAAAACTTTTACAAAGTGAGTAGTTTGAAAACCACAGAACTAATTTTTAGCAAAACAAAAGTTCCTGTGAGGTAAATACAGTACAGGGAGACACCCAGACTAACTCATCTCACCTGTGAACCTGAAGGACATCTTTAAATTAAACAGGAACAGAAATACGATTCTGCTGTTGCCTGAACACACTGTCCACACAGTGACAGAAACTGTTTGTACTTGAGCTGTAACATTTGCTGTGACCATGACTAACAGCCTGACTTTGTTTTCAGGCGAGAGGCTCAGCTGGATATCGAGGGTCAGTTCCTCGTCAGAATCATATACGAGGATGCCAAAACCTACGATCTGGTGGCGGCCGCAAGTAAAGTTCTGAGTAAGTCGCGGTGTTCTATCGTCAGCAAATATTACATATGTGAATAAAGTTGAAATTAAATTTCTAATGAGCTCTAATTGTATACATTTCAGAGATTAATGCAGGAGATATCTTACAAATGTTTGGGAAGATGTTTTTTGAATTTTGCCAAGAGTCTGGATATGACACCATCCTAAGAGTGTTGGGATCAAATGTTCGGGAATTCCTGCAGGTGGGTACTTGTTGCTACAGTGTTTCCACACTGGCTCACAGTGAAGAAATCTATAGAAATTGTTTTGAATTGTTTGAAAATGTTTTCCCCATAATTTTGTAAAAACAAGGTAAAGATATTGTTCATATCATGTTCAGCGTAGGAATGAAATGATGACAAATAATAAGAAAGTGTTGGGATAAAATCTGCAGTTGGTTCTCATAAAAAAAACTAAAACTCCAAAAAAGAAATTTTCAAAATATATAGTTTGCAGAAATGTTCAAATGTTTATAAATGTTTATACATTTATTTCTCATACGCAACATACATTTCATTTTATATGTATTCTTTTATTTAGTGAGCTTCATTAACCATTTTTGTCTCTATTTTCTTCACATTAGTTATCAATTATTATTATTATTATTATTATTATTATTATTACCTGATGCTCAGGAGGAAACAATATCAACATCTAAAACCATGATACGTAAATATTAAAATACACATTTAACTAATGTTTTAATTCGAAACATATCTAATCTATAATGTACTCTGCCCCAATTGTCATATAACGTATTGACAGAACTGTGTTTTGATGGAGAGTTGCATATTT